GCCGGGCGCGAAGCCGGGCGCGAAGCCGGGCGCGAAGCCGGGCGCGAAGCCGGGCGCACCGGGCACGAAGCCAGCCCATGTGCGACTCCACCGACAAAAAGAGGACATGAAAGATGGTGAAGAAAGAAGCGGATTCAAAGAGCTGAGGAGGATCTCAGCTTTGCGGATTTCTCAATGTGTCAATGAGCTGTTGATAAACCTCCATCCAAACCCATCCCAACTCCAACAAACTCCGCAGCACCTGCTGCCAGCACCTGCACTCTGAACCTCCAGACCTGCCAGTGGAGGTGCCCCGAGCCGCCCAGCACCTCTGAGTGCAGAAGGCTCACCTGGCGGGTCACCAGCTCGGTCGGACTGGAGATGACGGACCGACGGACAGAGCCGTGCCATGTGACATGAGATGCATCATGAAGGTTTTGAGGTGTGGCATCAACGTGTATCAGCATGCATCAACCACTCGAATTCTTCAATGTGTATATACTGTATATATACAATATGGAACAAGTTGGGGGATTTGGGTCTGTTGTGCGATAAAGATGTGGTATCTATGCCCCAATTCTGAACCACGTACAGATTGTTTTAATGTTTTTCCTTCTCCATCCTTGTCCTGTTTGGGGGCACTTGACTCCACACCATCCAAAAGCTTCAGGGCAAAAAAACAAGATATATGATATGATTGACAAGCCCCATATTCATATTGAGATCCTTGGAAGTCGCACTCTTTTGCCCAAATATCCACACGTGCACTCGCTTGCTCCATGACCGGCACACATCTGCCTGGCTGCTGTCTTGGCTCGCCAGACTCGGTGGAAAACCCCCTCCCCGTGTCCTCCATAGCAATGCTTCCTGGCGTTAGAGCGGCCGATCGCTGTGGCGCACAGGTTTCTCGGCCACCGAGGTTTTTGAGCGCATCTTTTATTTGTGTGTGTGTGTGTCACACCCTGGTTCTAAGGGTTTTCCACCTTTTCATCGTTCCTCTACCACAGAGGCTGTTTCCAATTTTCCACTGATGCAGGGGAGTGCGGTGTGATTGTGGGACCGCACTCAACGAAGCTACCACAATCACGGGATACCGAGTCTGATCAACTCGGCGTACCTGCCACAACTTTTGAACACGCTGTCCAATTTGATCGGTTTGATTCATGGTGGTTACATGTGTTCCTCCCTTAAACTTTTCCTTTACCGCCGTCAGCTGCCGCGCGACTGTGAAACAATGTTCAACAATTCCAGTGATCGGACCCATGCACCTTTCCGTTCCCTCACCTTCCTTCCCAACGTGGCAATTGAGTCTAACTGAAAACCCAAGTTCGAAGTGTGGACCGGTCAGTCTTCCCACGTGGGTACTGGGTGTGACCCTCCGAAAGGAGGCGCTGAAGCCATTCCTGATTTCATTGACCCTGCTTGTTTATAACTGACCTTCTGTTTGTTCGCTTTATCCCTGAATTTACTGATTTTCGAGCCGCCGGGCTATAAGCGACGGAACATCTACTCAAATTTCTGACATCCATTCGTGTTGTGCATTGCTACATTCCTCAATTTTTAATTTTTCCAACCGCAGCCGTTTAGCCGACGATCAACCTACGCATGCTCAGTACTGCAGATCCCAGAGGACTTCACTCCATCTATACCTACGCTTTTCCACCCCACAACGCCACCGCTGCGGCTGAAGCCCTGGTCAACCTTTACGCCCAAAAAGGGCATGACCTGCATGCGTGCAGGCGGTTTTTGAGAGAAAAAGATTCATGTTTCCACCGCGTGCTCTGTGCGCCGATCACGGCTTGTTGTGTGTGTGTCACACCCTGGTTCTAAGGGTTTTCCACCTTTTCTACCACAGAGGCTGTTTCCAATTTTCCACTGATGCAGGGGAGTGCGGCGTGATTGTGGGACCGCACTCAACGAAGCTACCAGAATCACGGGATACCGAGTCTGATCAACTTGGCGTACCTGCCACAACTTTTGAACACGCTGTCCAATTTGATCGGTTTGATTCATGGTGGTTACATGTGTTCCTCCCTTAAACTTTTCCTTTGCCGCCGTCAGCTGCCGCGCGACTGTGAAACAATGTTCAACAATTCAGGTGATCGGACCCATGCACCTTTCCGTTCCCTCACCTTCCTTCCCAACGTGGCAATTGAGTCTAACTGAAAACCCAAGTTCGAAGTGTGGTGCGTGTGTGCGCTGGACTGTATTTATTATATGTGTGGCATAGTATTTCTAACATGCGATGCAATGGGTAGCAGTGGCATGCAGTACCAGTATTTGTGCACTCTTGCCGCTGGCCATTAAATCGTTTCTGAACTCCATGGCTGCCAATATGGTAAGAGGAAATGCTCCTGCACCTGTATTGTCAATGCCGCGTTGCCACTTGCCGCAGTGCCACGTGATGAGGAAATTCCATGAAGAAAGCTGGAGGTCCATGTTTGCAGGCCTGTGTGGCTTGCACGGCCGGTGACACTTGGCCGCAGTTCGGTTTGGATCAATCATGCTCCAGGAGCCTCGGTTTGGAGATGCATGTCACCATTGATATGCTTCTGTTGGGGAGACATGGATTGGCTCACACACCTGACATGGACGTGCAGGAGAACAAAAACCCATCCATGTGCTCATTCTACCATGATCCATCGCAATTTTCACTGGGCTGACGGCTGTTTCAGGCGGTGCTTCTGCTGATCTCGCTGGGGTGCTCCATTTGGGCTTCCATCGAGGATGCGGACTTCACGCCAAGAACAGCACCATCGATACTCGGACCAGGACACGTCCGCGACGCCGATGATGGACGTGACGAACGGAGAGGTTTGTGGCCTTTTGGTTTGAACACCGGGTGTTTAATGGTCTTTCTTCTGGATTTGCTTAGGGGATGTTTTTTTTCCCTCTATGGATGGATGTTCTTCCGAGGAATAGTATGTCATTACCTGTTTTGTCCCGGTTCCTGAAGCACATCCCAGGCTTTAGGTTGAGTGACACATGCCAGGACCCTCCAAGGGGTGCCCAATGGAAGCCTATAGGTAGTGTGGGGTAGTCCATTGGACACCCCTTGGAGGGTCCAGGTACATCCCTATTGCTTGCTGCTTGATGATTTTGTTCATGACCTTTTTGGGGTCCGCGTTTGTCCATCTTCCAGCAGTTCCATGCACAACGGGGGTGCCGAACTTGGGAGGGGTCCGGGGTGCCCAGTCTCCATCCAAGCACTGGATCGGTCTAAGAGTCTAAAAATGGTAAGGCTGATGGTCTAAAAACATCAACAAAACCACCCCCAACCTGGAACTCCTGGTTGCTTTCTTGTGTGTTTTTTGTTTTTTTTCCGGATCATGGCGTCAAGTCCCTGGGTCCACCCGCACACGCCTTACAGACCCGAGTGGCCCTGAAGCTGCTCGGTGGAAAGCTTCTTTGCTTTTTTGTCCTCCCAGGTTCCTTCAGATGCGGCTGGAACTTCAGAGGTGTGATGACGTCGTGGCTGAGAAGTTTCAGAATGTGGGTCACGTAGCATGCCGCATGTATGGCATAAGGATGAGTCATGATGAGAGGTGATGCAGCACTTCTGCTGGATGTTTAGCTTAGACATTTAATGCATTTAGCCAGTTAGCTATACAATAGATTGTAATACCACTTATGCTGCGGCATCTGCTGGAGGGCACATCTCAAGACTTTCTTTTGCCCGTCCGGAGGCCGGCGCCAGCTGTGGACCAAGCGCTGCAAAGAGAGCCTTCAGAAGCGGAGGCCGCAGCATCCGAGCACTGGTGATATTGGAGTTGCTTTGCACTGGATGTCCACCTGCCCACCCATTCACTCCCCAAAAGGGGTCAACCTACTACGTACATCCTCTCGAACTATACACATTCTGTCACAAGGAGTTTGCTCCTGGATTTTGAAGAGCCAAACCGCCTCTTGGAGGACATAGGAACCCCCCCACTGCAGGATTTACGATGGTTTTTCTTCATTCCTGTGATCCAAAGCTTTCCATCCGATGTCTTGGACTCTTTCCATCCTCAAAAGCAGTAGCAACGACGAGCGCAGCGCAGGCGTTGAACTGCCCAGCGAGTCTCTTGCAGTGGTATCCTGACTGTGTCTTGGCAAGACCCGTGGGCAGCCTTTGAGAGGACCAGCAAATTGATGGGTTTTAATACGGATTTGTTTCGAGCTTATATATGTCAGCTGAAGAAAAGCTCCGGAAGTGATTCTTTCATGCATGTGCTACAGACTATTCAAAAAGGGCCAAAGTCAGTCGACAATCTCAGATGTCCACCTGTGAAAAGAAGTCCACTTGCCGGGCTGAATTCTGACATCAAAAGACCATAAAAGATCATAAAAGACTTCATGCCATTGCATATCATTCGTGGATGCAAACATGCACAGTTGCTCAAGCTTTTTCCAGTGATGTTTGGCTACGCCCTTTCCATTCAAATAGCCATCCAAGCGTGTATTTTGCCTCGTGGTGCCCATGCAGCGTTGGCTGGGCCGGACTGGCCTTCATTGGTGTCGGATTGCTCTGTTTGCTTGGCTGCTGTTTTCTCCCTTTGCCGTGCTGCAGGTGATACCTTGCTCCAAGCCGTCAAGTGCGAAGCTTTCCTCGACTAGAAAGTGTTGGCAAGTGAGTTCCCTAGGCAGGATTCGCACTGCTCAAGGCAAGATTAGCCATGGAAGCTTGCGCCACGGTGGCTATCATGAGGTGTCCATTCAGGGGAAGCCTTTTAAGGTTCATCGCTTTGTTGCATTAGCATTCCTGGGGCCTCCTCGACACAACACACTGTGGCAGGTACATCACCAAGATGGCAATCGTAGCAACAATTGTTTGGATAACTTGGAGTGGGTCACACCTTCTCAAAACGTGCTCAGCTCTTATGCTAACCCTTCAAGGGGCACAGCTGGACCGAGCCACTCAAAGCAAGTAATGGTGAAGCCTGTCGGATCTCAAAACTGGAAAACTTTTCCGTCGGCCAAAGTGGCATCGGAAAGGTTAGGCTTGCCTCTCTCAACACTGGCATGGCGTTGCCAAAAAAATGCTCAGGTTGAGGGCTTGGAGTTCAGGTATGCAAAGCAAGAGAAGCAGACGCTGAAAGGGGAGGAGTGGCGACCGATGATCCACCCCACATCAGGAGTGTCCATTCCAGGTAGGCTGGTCAGTTCCCAGGGCCGTGTCAAGCTTAAGAATGGACGGATATCAAAGGGGCATCAGAGGAAAGACCTCTACTACGTTACCACCATCTGCCTAGATTCGCATAGCTATACATTCCTAGTTCACAGGTTGGTGGCACGCGCGTTCCTGGACCAGCCGCCAACTCCAGAGCACACAGAGGTCAACCACAAAGACCTTGACAAGGGCAACAATGCCGTGAAGAACCTCGAGTACGTTACCCCAGCAGAGAACATTGCCCACTGCATTGCCAACATGAAAGGTCCCCACCCATTGTCACGGCCAATTCTCAGCCGGCTCTATGGCAGCAGTGATGAGTGGAGATTCCATCCATCCAGCAAATCTGCAGCCCTAGACTTGGGATTGGATCAGTCGCATGTTTGTAAGTGCGTTGCAGGCAAGCAAAGACAGACGGGTGGCTATGAGTTCTGCCTCGTAGAGCCCGAAGAGGCATTGGTTGCAACGCTCCCCCATGAAGAGTGGCGGGATGTGGATTTGGACTGGCACCTGCGGGACCGAGAGGTTCGGCGGAAAGCCAGCTAGAAAATGGCATTGGAATCGGGAATCCCATCATTAATCATTAATATACAGATTTTTCTTATGTTCTATATACTTATTGATTGTGTTCAGTACAATTTTAGCAGCACTCGCTTGTGGCAAACCAATTGCTTCTTGAACCTTCAAAGCTTTTCATGCTTTGAGAGCCGGCAAGCGAAGACTGCTGCAGCGTTCTTCGAAGGAGCTTCGAAGGCTTCCCCCTTGGGCTTGTCAAGATCTCAAGCTGGCCAATGTACCAACGGAAGTTCAAAGCAACTTCCACTGCCCATCATTCGTCAATGCAATTGAGTTCCAGAAAACATGGAGGTGATTGGGCCATGTATCCGGATAGAGTGATAGAGGTGTTACTCGTAGGGTGTGTCAAGTCATGCCGAATGTCCAAAACTGGCGGGGACTCTTTTCTCGACACCCTCACGAAAAAAGCAAGGCCAGTTTCGAACAGCTGTTGGACTACAGTACATTGGACATGCTTCCATATGCAGCAAGTGCCTGGATCAGGTGTGATATTGATCAAGTGAAACCGCTTCAAGCCACAAGACACCTCAGATGGACAGTTCGATGAAGAGAAGTTCAGCTTTTCCACCGCACCAATCTCCACCATAGCAAGTAAGGTGTGAGAAATCCCCACTTCCACACCAGCCCAGAGCCACCAACCACCATTGGATGTGGGGCGAAACCACCACGGTTGGACGTAGACACCTCTCAACAACCATGCTGGGGTGGATCATATTGAAAAAGGACGCGCGAAAAGAGTGCATAAGTGCCAATCAAGTCCTAATCTTCCCCCTCACTTGGACCCTACCAAAGAACCGCCATCTCAGTATTTGTATGCAGGGGATTTGTTGGGGGGCGTGGCTTCTTCGAGGTCGGAGCCTTCCTGTCAGGGCCAACTTCAACATTGGCCGAGTGAGGCAAGAGACGGATTTCGTTGCACCACCGAAAGGACGTGGTGGTCACGAACAAAGTCGGATTCAGAAACTGCACTGTATTCAGAAACTTGTCTTCAGACCTGGTGGTCACCGCTGGTCGATGGAAGACATGACAAGGAGTTTTAAGTTTTACTGCTTGAGCCTTGTTGGTCTATATAGAACCTGGTTGACCCTTGTTTTTTGGGAATCCTCCCTATCAAAGCTAACGATCCGGCCCCGATGGTTGCCGGACCGATCGTTCCAGCACTCGGCGCGCCGCGGTCCCAAAGAAAGCAGCCTCTTGGAGGCCCAACAAAGACGAGAAGCAGTCGCTCTTGTTGTACAGCGCTTCTCGGCGGCCTCGGGGGTCGGAGCTGCGGAGAAGCACCGGGGGGAGCGGTTGGGAGCCTTGGGGGCCTGAAGATCGGAGACGGTGACTGGACAGGCAGTTCCATGTTGGAATGGTTTTTCGTCCCATCCAAGGGGCCGTGGATGTGACAAGGGCGCCCCAACTTGCTCCAAGTTCGGCACTCCGACATGTGACTCTTGGTGGAAGGTGTTGGTCGCAAGGAGCAGCTGGTTCCTGCTTGGTCACCGCCTGCGGGGCTTGGTTCAGAGTGCACTGCACGCTTTTTGAGGCTTTAGATGCGAAGATTCCAAAGGAGGTGGGCGAGAGACAAAGTGATTGGTGAGACGACGTCAATCGACGTCACATCCCTATATTTGTAAGTGAATCATGATGCTTCCTATGTGAGCTGCTTTAGTTGGGCAGGGGGTTTTGTACCCTGGCCATTCACTTACAGTATCATGTTCACGATCTTAGGTGTTTTCCTTGATCGCTCGCTCTGACCGGTCGATAGAGCTCTTCCGAAAGATCTTCGGATCTTCGTCCGTCTTCTCCAGGAGCAGGTTTCAATCCTGGGATGGGATCCGGTGATTGATGAAGTGCACTCGACCTGCCCTGGCCAAGTCGGCTCAAAGGCGAGGAGCCGCTCCCGTGAAGTCCGTATGACCTGCTGTAAGTCTTACTGTGTATGACGTGAGATGTTATGTGTTCCGCGTGGTGAATCACCACGTGGAAGGAGTCAGTCAGTCATTAAGCAGATATTTGGACATTTTTTGTATTTTTTTGTGTTCAAAGCATGACTCATGGATCTCATGGGAAGCGCATCTTGCCTTGTTACTCTGGCACTTTAAGTTACAATACAGAGATGTCATTGCTACGTTGACCTTTCTTGTCACCTGACATCGTCTACAGGTTGACTCATGTTGACTACTTGTGCCGCACTGTTCACCCTTGCCGTCCTCTTGTCATCTTGGCCACCTTGCTGATAGGCTGATCGGTCGATTTTCCATCTCATGCAGCGCTTCAGGTCAGCTTGGTGCATCACATCAACGTTTACACCTTGGGCCCTGGCCACATCGACGCCCTCCAACCAGCCACTTGGAGAAACTTCTCGCAGCTGCGCCTGGGGCTGTGGACGGACTAGCCTAGCGTTTGGGTGTCGGAAGAGGTTCCCATTTGCTACATGAGGTTTTTCGGGGTCTTTTTGATTTTGGAAACCCATGTTTATTGAACGTTTTGGAATCTGCATTTCTGGTTTTCACTACAGCCGGGGCCTCCACCATTTGAGTGTCGCACCAATTGGAAACGATATGTCCATATGTGTCCCATTGCTGCGTTTTCGACCCAAAAGTGAAAGGGAACTCAAGGAACTGGGTTTTGCTCAGACTATGGCAGCCTTTGGGGTCATTGGCCGTTCTTTTTGGCCCAGCCACTCTATGTATGGAAGGGATACATGTGACCGCAAGACTTGATCAGGAGCTCTAGGTTTGCCAGGCCCGGCCTTCCAGGCCCATGGCTCCCATTGGCTGTACCAACCATCATAGTTACGTGGATGGCATGGTTCCCGGAAAGACCATGAAATCCTCTACAAACCGGGGGAATCGTCCACGGAACCATACGAAACCATGTTTGTTGGAGGGAGGGTATAACTTAACTATATATGGTATAATATATGTAACTGAATGGGGTCTTTTGACTTTCGCCTCTCTGACCCCCGCCACCCGCGCGGTGGCAGAACCACCTGAGGGGAAGATCTACTCAAAGGCGGAGCTGACACCCTTCGAACTGGATTTTTCGAGCTTCCGCATGTTGGCCTCGCATGACAAGGTCGCTTGGAAGGGGGAAAGAAGTGACAGAAAGACATAGATAGACTGACTGGTGCCAGCTTCCTGCATGGAATGAGGGTGGTCCAAAGAAATCTATTTGCAGAAGTCTCGACTTCCCTCACGGGCCCCATGAGTCACACCAGTCAGAATGTCGAACTACTGCTTACCCAAAAGGGACCCCAGAAGGTGCTGCAGCCTGTTTTACAGACCCAGTGGGAAGAGGACAGCACCCACCTGGTAGAGGGTTATTATATAGAGGTCTAAGTTCGTTTGTTGAAACAAAACTGCTGGCAATGAACGATTTGGTGCAGTTGTTGTTCGGATAACATCTCCAGAAGAACAGCTAACCTCACGGAAACCAAGCAGAGCTCCGTTTGGAATCGGATCTGCGTTGTCATCGAGGGTCAGACGTGGGACATCGAATCTCAGCATACCCTGCCCAAACCTAAGGAGACTTACTGACTTACTGGGGGTCCTAGCAGGGGATGGTGGAGAATTGAAGTGGGAATCATAGGACCCCCCTCCAAGAGTTGGCGATCTTGGATGACCCGACAAGGTGGCGAGTTGTTGGATGACGACGTTGATATGGACAATGATGCGTATTGTTTTTTTGGGGGGGCAGTGAGACCCACACCGAGCCCGACTGAGCTCCAAAGACTGAAGCCTTGCAACATCTTGTAACCTTCACGACCGATATGGAAAAACAATATGTGAGTCATGTGAGTGATGATTTATGATGAACTTATTACACTTCTTGTATTTTCTTGTGCCATCAGCCTTTGGTTTTGGAATCCAATGCTATTCACCATGACAGTCCATGAGGTCTATTGCACTTGTTGTGCTTCTAGGTGGATTCCTCTACAACACGGGATGTCCCAGAAAGGAAGCACGGCAAGACTGACACGCCTGCTTTGCTGAGTTGGCTGGCCAATATTTGCTGCCCAAGGGCTATGGCATTCCCTTTTCTGATCGGAGCCTGGTCCTGGATAGGAGGTGAATGCACGGCATGAACACAGGGAGTGGCCCAGTTGTTGCAGTTGTTGGAACAAAGAACTTTGGGTGGGGCAAGAGTGAATTTAATTCATGATAGATAATTCATGTGTTTCTTGAGATTGTATCATGGTGTGCTTTTAGTTGCTTGCTTTGGTTGATGTTCCCTCATGAGAGGAGGTGTGCAGGACATTCAGTCATGTTTGGTACACTGCATACGTGCAGTTTGCCATCGTTGCTTTTTTGGGCACTTGATAACCATCAGGGAGTGATCATGGCAGAAGGATTGTAGGACATGAGGCCTGACATGTACTTTAGGACAATACCAACCCGCTTATGAAGATATGCATATCGACCCAAGGCCCAGCGAAGTATCAACATGTTGTACGTAGTTTCTCGATGCTCCCTTTGAACCGGCCATTGTGCATCATTGTGCTGACTTGTGTGGACACAACAATTTACCGGCCGCAAGTTGCAAGGGACGCTACTTGCTTGCCCAAACGAAGATGCGTTACAGCAGGTCAGGTGACAGGAATGCTTCTAGGATTCCAGGATCTAAAGGGATGGTGTTGGTAAGATTTGTTGGCAGAATTCAATAAAGTAATCATCTTCCAAGATCAAGTGAGGACATTTAGACTTTCAAGACCTTCAAGTGTCCGGACTTGGTCTACAGGAACCTAGGACTGGCCCTCAGGTCCCCCACACGCAAGCTCCAGAAAATGTGACTCTTTACCGCGGCACCAGCCGCACACTAGCCAAGCGTTCCTAGCACTCGTACTCACTTTGCGGGTGAGTGTGCTGGAATTAATAGGGAGGCCTCAACAAAAAGCATCCCCTGGCAAAACGAAACAACCGAAACCCATTGGTTGGGGCATCTCCATTCACTCCATTCCCCAAGTCACACTTTCATCCAACTGGTGGACCTGGGAGCAGCCGAGGGCGATGTTGGAGCACCACATCCTGTTCCCCAAGTGTTGGAACTTCGATGCGGAGGACAGTTTTGCATCAAACCGCTGAGCAGGTCTTGCTTTTGCTTCAGCACATGTTTCCTATAACTGCTCCCCCTTTGGGAGCTCCCGAACTTCTGCCCCCCCGGCGTCACAGCTCAGAACTGCCTTATATCCGGTGCCGACCCAAAAGAAGCGCGATTTGTGGTGACACCAAGACACAAGGGTCGGGTCTTCAGGAAGTAAACCTTTTGTTGGCTATATACCGATGGTGCGCATTTCTAAGACTTCCCTCCAGCACCACGGAAAGGGTGTCCATTAATAGCCCCGTAGAGGTCAAGGGTGTCCATAAAGCACCCCTTCCCTGGTCCTGGCTATTGATCCCTATTGTCTACAGATCACTATTGGTCCATCTTCGTTCGCCACCCTTTGGGAAGACCAGCTGTTGCTTGCAGGAGAAAATCATGTGCTTCTTCAGTTGCGAGTCCTGACTTCGCAAGTAACACCTGGGGAAAAGAAAGGTTCATCAAAAACGCCCCGGCTATTCTCGACTCACCAAGAAAGACTGGACACCTGCCTACACCTTCCTGCCTCCTACTGGACTTCCACGCCACCCGCAGGACCAGCCGCAATCCAGCGGCTTCAACCTGCGCCTCGGAGAACTGCCCGCTCCCGCTCCGTCGCCCCACATGACCGGGAGTCCATCGCGACGCCGGGAGTCCATATGTGACAGGAATGCGGAAGACTCTTCGAAGTTCAACCCGGGTTTGAATGGTTCAGTGTCCATCTGCAACATGCTGGAAATTCGGGGACTTTTTGGACTCTGAAAGGCAAGGCTTACGTTTGGTTTCACTACGGTGGTCCCGAGGGGGAACAGTGCAGGACCTTGGAATTCGCTTGGAAGCATGCTCAACTCCTGTTTTGCCCCTACTAGAAAAACGAACCTCATATTCAAAGCCATGTTTTGGGTTCAGAAGTTCAACCTCTTTTGTTATGGCCGCTCTCAGCTCCTATCACAAACCAACTTGGACAGAATAAATTTGAAAGAATCGCCTATGTTAGACTGTTAGACTATAGTTAGACTATTGTTACAGCTACTCCTACTACAAACCAACTTGGACAGAAGGAATTTGAGGGAATCCCCTATGCCTATGTTAGACTTTTTTCAACCAAAGTGTTGCCTCTACCATTGCCAATTTTGACCTTGGGATGTTTCCCGAACTCTTCCGCGAGGTATGTCACCTCACGCCCGGTGACTCCAGCCGCACTGGTAGGAGCCCCCGAGCGGGGGGTGCGAAAGGAACGGAGCGATCCTTTAAGCCAGCGAAACCACGCATCAGTTCTACACAAGTTCTGGATGTTTTCAGGACCGACTGCTGTAGTAGATTCGGACAACTACGTCATTTGAGGAGGGGTAGTCAGCAGGGATTCTCCACCTGATTGGATCTTGCATGATTTGCCATACACGGGGCATCCCATCATACATTCCTACATGCCTTGCATGGCTGATTTGTTCCAGCCCTAGGCCCGGTGACTGGTCGCGCCCTCATCCCCAAAGACTGGTATTGATGAACATCCGCAGGTTGTTGTCAAAGCCCTGACCCATTCTTCAGACGCACTGGAGGGACAAGTATCACAACACCTCCAAGCTGCATTTCTGTGCTGGTTGGGTGCCGATGCATGTCGTTTGTCTCGCCAACGCTCCTGGCATATTTAGTCTTTGACCTTTTGGAACCACTGCATCCGACGTGGGAACTCAATCCAACGCGGCCTTTGGATGAGTCCATTGCTGTCACTTCCATCCTGTCACTTCTCCTTTTTCAGAGCTTCCCGCCACAGACGACGACGCTTTTCGCAGGAGCTCTGAACTTCAACATGGATGTGCGCCCCGCGCAGGGATCGGTCGCCCGGCGCATGGAGCCCAACGGTCGTCCACGAAGCCAAAGACCGACACCAGGTAGGTCCCATGGCATCCTGGTGGCCATGACCGACAGCCATGGGATGGAGTATCCCAAATCCACTAAATTCTCAAAGAGGGACGGATGGGTTGTGGACCAAAAGTGCCTTGAGGAAGCTGAATGGCTGATGTCCTAATGATCCTACGAGGCTTGAGGGTGTTCAATGGATATTGTGATTCTTCTTTCCCAGACTGTGGGTCATAGTAATTACTCCAGTCACCGTAGGTGTATAACCGGCAGCCCGTGGTTCCAAAGACTAAACTTAAACTATATATCTAAGATTGTAAATTAACCTAGAAACCTTGGTTCCTTATAGTGGTAACATGTATAGTAATTGGGATCCCCTTGTTATGCCTTGTTATGCTCAAGGGTGTATGTCGAGATTCCAGGGGCCACCTTGCGGAAGATTGGAGGTCTTGGATTTGTAGAGCTGAAGATTTGCACGGGATATGATCGTTCATAGACCAGGAACTTAAACGGACCACTTGACTTAATTGCATTTCTTTCTCCACTACACGTTTGCAGCAACAGTAGACTTGTTCAACCCTGGCTTTACCACGGTGTCTCCCTTTGCATTCACCCCCTCCACGAACCCATGGTTTGCCAGCCATCTTTTGACCCGCGAGGTTAAATGGGTCACCCGCATGTCCGCCGACCGCTTGGTGGAGCTGGTCTGGCCCCATGCCGACGCTGGGCCAGCAGCGGCAATCCGGTCATTTCAGGTCGGCCATGCCGATGACAGATGGGAGACGGCAGACGGAGATGGCTGACGCGGCCAGACCATGCAAGGAATGGAGGCTGACGCGACGGGATCAAATAGAACATAGTTCAACGATCGATTGCTATTCTAGATGGCGTCGAGACCATCATGTCATGATGGAACGGCTGGCCGCACGTTTGATGAACCCTTGAGGCATGTGGTCTTTGTTGAGGCTGTTTGATTGTTTGTGGCTGAGCTCACAAACAGAATCCTCTCAAGGGGGGTGGTCTGTCAGTTTCTAGTCTAGGCCGAGTTTCCCAAATGGGCAAGTTCAGAAGCTAAGATGAGGAGTGGCCGGAGATTCTCGCCGTGCACCTGCACACTCATGATGTGGCCTTGGCAGCAGATTGAGAGAGCAGATGTGTGAAACTTGTGGCATACTGTGGCATGTAGACATCCACAACTTGTCTCATACCAGCTTCATTCAATCGCCGTTATATAATTTAATGTTACATATAGTAATTGTTCTTTTGAACAAACTGTGGGGTGCTCATCACATGATCCATGTTTGTCCCTCTCATCCAGGTCGCGCACTCGAAGTATTTTGAGATTGTGCAGCTCAGCTGAGAGAGTGGCGAGTGGATGGCAAAGTTGCACAAATTTGGCGTTTGGAACCTTAGGAAGCTACAATCCTAGACTAGCATCCTCCCACGGACAGTGCCCAAAAAGGTCTGTGCGGCTCCATCCCGTCCATGAGTTTCAAGGAACAGTGAACTCTTTGGTCGTTTTCGTTCGTGGATATCATCTGTCTCATTCCTGAAATCAATTGCAAAGGCTGGACTCCGGACCTTTTGTCCTGACAGTTGGGACTTGGTTTTGTTGCACTTCAATGGTGACGAATGCACTTGTTTTGTCCCAGGTGGCTTCACCAAGCACAAGGCGAACGCAGTGAAAACCCACCTTCAAGGGCCAGGTGAACTTCCATGATTGTTCAGGGAGTGTACTCCTTTCAAGGAGTAGCACGAAGTCATATGAAGTCATAGGTAGGGAGTTGTCCATGTATGTCACGTCACACACACTTAATGCGCCAGCGCGCGCGCATTCGCACCGCGCGCGCGATCAGTGGGGTTTGCAGGCTTGGGCGTTTGGCTCAGGTCAAGAAGTGAATTTGGAACTACTTCATGAGTTTGGAAACGAGCCATGGAAGGAAGGGTGCGTCCCACTCATCCATCGAAGGACGCTATCCACAACGACAAATCTTTCAAGGGAGTTTGAGGGACTGGATGCTTGGCATGCGAAGGACCCAAAAGAAACATGCCTGCTGGGTCTTCTTCACACATCACAGAGTAACATTGGATGTATGGAGATGCCCCTTGTTGAGATCTCGATCATTGTCCTCGATTGACTGCCAGTGGGATACCACTGGCAAGAGATGGGGGCCCGCCGCTGCAGGAACCCACTTCTGGATCATGACAACAAATTGGATCATACCATATCATAAACCCTCCTGTTGGTCTCCCCTGGTATCCCCCCAAAACAAGCACATTAAACCTCTCAGTAAACCTCTCATTCGCTTCACCATCGCTTGGTGCATGGCCATGCCCTGGTGCTCTCGCTCTTCGCTGGTGCTCTCGCTCTTCACCGCTGGGGTGGCTGCTGGTGCGCCGGGTGCGCCCTGCGAGGAGAGTCTCATGGGGCGTCCAGTGCTCCGTGTGAGGTGGGTCGTCGAGTGATTGAAATGAAAACAATGGCGGCGGCGTAACGAAGCACAGACAACTCCAAAATGCAAAAATGAACTAAGACTAAGACTATTAAACATATATATTTACATCATGAATCATATTCCATCCTCTCAGACTGACATAGAACCTGAAAATAGACCTTTGGAAGACGGGAAGATCATGTTCCTCTACAAGACCAGTGTGTTTAGATTCTATGTTAGTTTGTCAGGGTGTATTCAGAATCTGAAAAGTAGATGAGCACTTGTAGGGTGACGTCACTGGCTTGACACCAACTGCATTTCGCTGACACTGGTGTCGTGGCTGAGCTGGAAGCCACTTTTTTGGAGCCATGATGTGGTACATGGACTGCCTGTGAGGGGAAGTGTTGGAAGTTGTCAAAATGATTCAATCATATTCAACACGTGTTTTGTGTTGATTTACTGTGAGGATACCATATAATATATATATATAGTTACTATACATGTGACTGTGACTGGTAAGCCTCAGAAGATGTATCGTTTGCATCAATCCCATTTGAACCAACATGTCAATCTGAGTTTGTGTGATCTACCACAAGTCTCCCGCATACTCAGTGGGATCACATATGTTTGGAAGTCTGAGACTAGGAACGCCACTGGTTGCGAGGTCGCACTGATTGGTGTGATGGCACAATGGCCTGGGTGACAGTTCTCGGACCTTTTGTTTTCCTCACCATCCAACTTGGATAGGAGGGCCCGGTACTCATCATTGGCTCGGGCATCTCCGGCTTGGTGGCTGCGCGCTCCTTGCAACACTTCGGCAACTTGGCTGTCCTGTTTCGGCTGTTTCGGACTGGCCAAGATAGGTCATTGGTCGACACTGACACTCCTTCTGCAACCACCATTTGGACCAGCTGGACAGGTGAGCAGCGAGGAGGGATAGGAGGAGTCAGAGACACCTTTCACGAAGCGAGCTTGGAGACGTGAGGTTGGATCATTGGAATCACCCTGGATTCACATCACATCTTAGTATAGTGGTCCCCAAATTGATAGAACATTTAGATCCCCACTAAAAATGTATTGGAAACCGTTTCTATATCTATTTGGGGATAACTTTAGTTGATTCTTCAACGTTTGTAGAAACTGTGGTAGTTGGAATCGGTGAGATTGATTTGGTGGACTTCCAACACAACAGCATCCACCTGCCCGTGATTGCTTCTTCCAATCAGCACTTCAACCATAGCACAGACTCTTGGCCAATCCATTCCCCAAGCCTTCGGTCGACTATGCCCAGCCGCCCAGCGGGCGCCCGAGCCAGGATGCCCGGTGCAGTTGCTGGAAGCGCTCGACCGCCCTGGGGGCCGCACTCACACCTTCTCCTCGGTCCCTTTCGCTGGCCTCGAGGAGGGTGCGCATTGGGTCGGGGGCCTTGGTCCGGACGGCCCTGGTTTTGAGGCGTTTTGAGGCGGGTGGTGGAGTGGATTGATTTGGGATCTATACTTGGGCCGCGCGCTGCCACGCGCGAAGTACCAAAGCTGTGGGACATCATGAGGCAGCCAGAGGATTCGCACAGCGCTGAAACCTTGCTTTTTCTGCCTCAGTCTCCGTCTCGCGCGAAGAGGTTGCGCGAACTTGAGCGACGACATCCAGTGTGAATAGAATCTTCGTGAACATCAGCCAGATGCAATTTACCGAAGCCACCACAAATCTCCCAAGCTAAGCTGCCAAATGCCACAAGCCACAAAAACCACAAATGGCCACAGGTCCAAAAGCAAAAATATACAAAGACCATCCCTTAAAAAAGACATTGTTTGGAAAGATCATAAAGTCCATGTTAACGTGTGCTCCCCCCTTTTTAAAGTCAGAATGTTGACATGTCCTTCGGACCTTCGACAGCCTCCTCTAAGACTCCTCTCAATGTGTTGAAACGAGCTTCAAATTCTGGCACTTCCAAGGTGCATGGCGGCACAGACAATGTCCCGGTGTCAGTGCTGCTGCGCATGAACAACATCTCGCAGGCAAGCTGCGGAAGAAACAAAAACAATTGTCATTTTAATGCTTTCTGCATATAACCACCGTTGTTAGCACAAAGGCAGACGAAGGTGACTACTTTTTTTTTGCAGAGAAACGTCTCGATATGTCTCGATCTATATCTATAATTATATGATATTATATGCATATATATATATAGACAATGAGTCCCATCCAAAATGTACCATACCGTACTACCACACTGTTAAATTTGATCCAATGATAAATTAGCCATCCCAACAAAGGCTGGGAAGCCTGATTGTTCATGATGTTTTTGGAGTTCATTGACTTTCCAAACATCATCGAACATCCCCCAAAAGCGGGTAATGCTTGACTTTTCCAGTTGTGCTTTAGAGGGGGTTGCAGGTAAGGCATGGTGCGTTTAGATTTGGAAATCATTCGGCCTCTCATGGTGCAAAGTGTCAGCTGCATCTCAAAAAACATCATGAACAATCAGGCTTCCCAGCCTTTGTTGGGATGGCTTCCGATGTTTCTGCCTCCGGCCGAGGTCCGCGTGGGCGGCGACGACGACTACGAAGGTCCCCGGCAGCGCCTGCGGCTCTTCGACGCCTCTGCGCGGCCGCTGGACGCCGCGCGGCGCGAGGTGAGCTTCGAGCTCTTTGAGACGGCGATGGCGGCGGCCACGGCGTATGCCGAGGTGGGGCGGACATGGGTGTAGTAACTACAGTGGTTTCAGGGGCCGCACTGGCACCGCAAGATGTTTGTTAGTAATATGTATACCGTCATATGGGGGTCCATATAAACCACCTCAAGTGGCCTTCAGAGATTGAAATAGGACCCCCCTGGAAAGGACAATAGACCAAACAAGCCCAGTAAAAAGAAGATTGTCAAGGGTGCGCTTGGAGAGCTTCTGTTCACACAAGTTGTTGGTATGTCTCGGGTCTGTACTATTGCCTTTAACATCATTTAACAGTCCGTAAACAATTATCATCATTTTTGAACAAGGTTTGCAACTGAACCATCGTCCACTGTTACAGGTAATAGGATAGACCCGAGGTATGTCATTTTAACATGATAGCTTGAGGCTGACCAAGTCATAGGGGAATTTTGTTTCTGAAACTTGTTTCGCTGAATCCTGGCATCCCCCCCACAATGCTCCAAGGAAACGAGGAGATGAATCCGCACAACTGATTCATCAAAATCATTTAGGATCCCTTGTTGTGGGCATTTCGACTATATCAAGCTAGACTGCTGGGCACAGGATAGGGCCGACCCAAGGTGTGTGTCTGGGTCGTCTCAATTCCTTGCCCCCCGGCGGCTTCTGTTTCCACCTCCCGTTCCCACGACTCCCTCAGGGGCATTACGGCCGTTTGGACCACGTGGCGGTGGCGGAGGTCTGGGACCTGGCCTTGAAGGTGAAGTATTCCAAGGAGAGTTTCTTGGGCCAACGAAGCGCGGAGAGGGATTCGTTTCGGGAAAGCGGTGAGGGAAGGTGGTCCTTGCGACGGTATGGGCCGAGATGTACCGAGAGGTTCCCAGTGGCAGGTGGTAAAGCTCGAGCATCAGAGACAGCTCTGGGTGCTGAGATTGGCCTCGCAGATTTGGACATCCTTGGAAGTTGGAAGTACTCAATCCTTCTCAGCACCTACAGTATACCTCCCCCCATTGTCCGCATCGAGCCGTTGCGCATGTTTTGAGTCGTTGGGCATCAGTCCTTGGTGCTCAGGTCGAGCCCTGCTCTCCTGGCACCAGAAGGTCTCCTACGAACAGGACCGACTCGGATTCCCAAAACGATCAATTCGGACCCCCACCTGCAGCACAAACTGGATGCGCTGAGCTCATTGATTGGGTTGAAACGAGCTTAGTCATTGGTAGAATTGGTTTTTATATGGTTTTCAGAATTGCTTGTGGCAGCGCACATGCTGTGTGGTCCTTTTTCTACAAAGCTTCAGGACTCGGTCGGCTGGATTATGATTCAGTCTAATCATCATGATGTGGTGTCATACACTGGCATAAAGTAGTCGTTGGGGTACGTGTACCTGAGTCAGCTAGCCCTCAACGACTGACAACTATCTTTCTGCTTGTTCTTTCTGCGACGAAGCGACGACGAAAACCATCCGAAGGACTCGGGCGCAAGCATGACAGAGCTCAGCAAGCTGTTTGCACTTGGCGTAGCACTTGGGGACGTCATTGAAAGACGCGGGTTACTGGGGCTGATCCCGATCCTTCAGGTATTTCAGGTGTGGGTTAGACCTCATCATACTTCATCTATACTTTGAAGTTATTAGTGGAAGTTCTTTGCATGTTTTTGGGACATCACCACCCCCCTGAGGCAGTCAAAACCGGTGTGTGTGTGTGGACCTTTATTGGCCCTTACCCTACCCTGCTTGGGCTCCAAACACACAATGGTCGCTGCAACATATACACTGCCCGCGTATGTCGAAGAGGCGCGGTGGCGGAGTATGTCGAAGACTACACGGACTTCTACCCCGATCGCTCCGAGGGCATGGAAGAGCACGGTGATGGCTTTGTGCAAGGCATCGGTTGCAATTTCGGGCCGTTTTTCGATGCGGCCGATTGAGGGATTAAGGGATTTGTCCCGGCAGCGAAGCAGCCAGCAGTATAGAGGATGGTAGAGTCCTAACATGTCCTAACAAGCAACTCAAGATAAAGAACAAAAGACCGGTGCTTGTTTCCTTTCAATTTTTGCTTGACACACCGCCCTGAGTGTACAATGTGGACAAGGGCATAGTATTTGATGGTTCGCGGTACGTATGCCACCCTGCTGATGCACATTACCCCGAAGAACAGACTGTGAGTGACAGTGTTCGAGGGTGGTAGGGAACCTCATCAATCATCAACAAAAACTCAAGACTCTTGGCTCAGTTTCCGCGTGTGTGTAGTTTTTTGTTGTGGGGTGGTTGCCAAACCTAATCCAACTGGGATTGCCCAGGTGGCTTTTTGTGGGGCTGCACCCCTATGCCCACCTGGTGGCTTTCCTGTTTTCCACGTGAGGCGGTTACTCCGCGCTGGTGCGTCGCTTGTCCGAGGGCCTCGACCTCCGCTTGAGCTCGCCCGTGACACGTGGCTCGGCCGTCTAAACCGATCGGCTCGGAGCGGGTCCAGGGTCCAAAGACTGGCGGAGCGCCGTTGGGTTCCAATCGAAGATGCTCCCAGTTTGGACAGTTACGGTGGTTGACGTTGATTTCTGATGGGTACCCCTTTGCGGGGAAAGATGTGTTGCTTTTCGCGAGGTGCCTTAAAATGAGTGTGTGGTTGAAAGTGTGCAGGGCACTCTTGACTTTAGGCTGGTCCATGCTGGTCCATGTGCCAATGGACAAGAAGGCGTCACAGTATCTCTGAAACTATAGATCCTGTATTGTAACATGTTGCTCGTCCTGGATTACTGAGCGGCGGCCTGGATGGTGTCATCTCACGTGCCAATTGAATGGTTGTCACTGGCGCCTTCGATGGCTTAGGCTCAGAGAAGGTAAATAGAACGGAAACTGTAGGGGCTGCCCCAGCCTGCAACAGGTGAGAATGAACGAAGGGTAGGAACAACAAACTACGCCCATAACGTTGCCCTATTTCAACCAGTTGTGATCATCCAGGGTAACTGACGCGGTGCCCTCGTTCGCTTAAATCCTTTCCGCCATGCTTGGTGGGCCACGGCGTGGTGCAACCCAATGGTGTGCCATGGCGGTTGCACTCACCAGTGACCAAGCAAGCTCGTGTTGGGGATGGGACGAAGCACCCAGCCGGATCACCACTTCTTGCCACTTTCTCAGATAGCAAGGGCTTCTAGGTCGCTCTCGGTCCTTGGATGTCTTGTTTTCTCAAACGGCCGAAAGACTGTACTTCGACTTCTAGTAGTGCATCCACTGTACTTGTGCTAGCACCTTTCACGGTCATTTAGAAGACCCAAGGAATCAGGTAGAGATCTTTACAGACCACCCCTGGGTACGATCCATTCAAAAAGCCACAGTATCATTGGGTCTTTGTGCAAATGATTTTGCATTATACATCATGACTTAAGCATGACACCCAAATTTTGGCCACACTGAACGTTGTGCGACTGTGTACACTCAAAATGTTACCCACTGTAACATTTTGGCTCTGACACTGACTTTTTGTCCTGTTCCTGGCGCCCACCCAAAAACAGCTGCCCCGGTGTGGTCAGGTGTGGACCATTCGCCGCAGGGCGTCTCGGTGACCCTGCAGAGCGGCGAGCGCGTGCAAGGCCGGGAGGTGTTTCCTGGGGAGGTGGGTTCTGAAGAGAGCGGATTGTGGGGGAGACCGGCCATGCCATCCACTTCCCTGATGATTTCAGGGAGTGTACATGGGCGAAGCTCCTTGGGATACCTGGGCTTCAGCTTCATCTGCACACGCGACCCCCGAGAATCCAAGAAACGATGTCCATGTGTAGATCCAGTTAATTAGTACCTAATAGAACCTAGACCATTCAAAAGGGTGCGCCATAGTTGAGATCAGAATGGTCCTGTTCCTGGTCATCAAGTCTTTGCCGGGCTTGTTCTAGAATTCTCACCGGTCGACCCGGTCGAGTTTTTAAGAGCAGCCTGTCGTTCAGGAAGTGCCGTGATTGTCACCGCTTCGATCGGAGCTTTGCAAGCAGAGCCTCGGCAGAAACCGGCGACACTCTCTGAAATCATGGAAGTGGATGGCACCACTTGATTGGTATTTGGAAAATGTGGGAAACTGGTCATCCAAGGGGCCATGCCATCCACTTCCATGATTTCAGGGAGTACACCCCACAGCTGCGAAGCTGCAAAATTTGAGAGCAGGTGGGGTCAGAAACCCTAGGTGGGTGGGGTGCAATTTGGCTTCCGTGTGGGTGTTTGGACCAACCTCAACCCCTGAAACACCATCCCAGTGGGCCCAAGCTGCTTCTACACAATACACCGGACTGGTATGCCCCAAAGAGCCACTTCTGAACTCCAGAGCAATTTCTGAACTGCTGAGGGCTCATGTTCCGCCCCTGACTTTTGATCCGAGCACACCTGCAGGAAGGCATCGCCTTTCAACCCCCGCTGCCCATCGAGAAGCAGAGGGCATTGAGGCGTCTAAGGATGGGAAACGTGGCCAAGGTGTGGCTTGGATGAAATCAGCCCCAGAGAGGGTGGGCAGCCCGCCCTAAACCTGTCAACCAATGAGCAGTGGAGGAAGAAACGTTTCGATGTGGCTGGCCACTGGCACAGATGTTTCTCTTGAGCCAGGGCATCCATGTGGTCCTGAGATGTCCTGAGGGTGCCGAACCCCAACAGGCAATTTTGAGCGAACACTGGATACAACAAAAACGGATGTCTTTGGAATATATGGGCCATTGATATGATTGTTGAATCAACAATTCTCCATATGAGCGCCAGACAGACTACGTCGGTGAAGAAGCCTCCACATCCTCGTTCGATCGCCGAAAAACCCAAGGTTGGTGAAGCTCGCCCACTCCGCAAGAGACTTTCTAGGCGCTTACTCTTTGGGTTTCCTGGGCAATGGCACCCTCTCTTACTGCATCCGTGCGCGCCGAGAAGGCAAGGGGCCTTTCCTGGCCCCTTGGTCGGGCAAGTAGCACGGCGCGTATGGACTGGAGTGGAGGAACGTGTGATTAGAGTTCTCTGAGGTGGTGGGAAGCCATTTAGAAGCTTATTGGAAGACGGTTGACAGACAGCTTGGTGCTTGAGCCAGTTTTTGCTGGGATACATGTAATTACTTGAGTCTGCGATTTGCGGCAACCTGAAAAGATATGAAAAAGATGCTTTTTCGGAGGTGGAGCCCCAAATGTTCAAGGTCCACAACTGGATTTTCGGGTGTTCACTGCCGCACCTGACCCCCAAAAAACTTTAAGACTCGCGCCAGAGTCTTTACAATGGATTCAGAGTAGATGGCACAAACCCCAAGATGTCTTTTAGATGGGGATCCATATAAACCACTGTAAGTAAAACTTCACTGCGTCACTGTACAGAGAATGGATGAGAGCGGGGCAATGGCTTCAGCAAGCTGAACAGCTTCCTCGCCTCGAGGAATGCTTCATGGGAGGCCATGAAGCAGTCGACGCGGAGCAGATGGATTTAGAGGAGCTCACCAGAGGCTTGGGCTGCAAGGTGCTGCAGCTGGTGGTGCAGGCAGCTACTGCTGTTTTCAGAGATCCCAACCTTCTTAGCCACTGCATTTTTTGGGGAGAAGAGGCCTCATCAGCAAAGACCAATGGGAAACCAAACATGGAATGTATGTGGAATGCATATAGACATGCAAAACTCCATGCTGCTTTTCTGAGACTCTTCCAGCCAGGGATCCAGCCAGTGCTCCAAAAGCTCCCCATTTTCGGCCCTTGGGCCCCTCCAGGATCCCAAAGGTCAACCTCCACCTCCCTGGGCACCCTACTTGTACTTCCAAGAGGGACGCCTGCTCATTAGGTTGGCTCCGACCTTGGTGGAGGGAGCCAGGTGACATCTACGTGACATATATCACGATGCTCATAGAGTTGCATCTTGATGAAGTCTTCATGAAGTCACATGGTCCACATCCTTAAGACATGTTGAGGGTGTAGGTTTGCCTCACCTCGGATGTTCCTTTTTCACCGCCGATTTCTATAGTTATAACCTTCCTTGACTTTGCTCATCCTCCACCAACAGCTTTTCTTGGTGCTTCCATCCCCTCCACCAACAGCTCCGGCCCCCCGCAGCCGCCCCGTCTCCGTTCAGGACAGGTGAAGCAGCAACTGGCGCCACTGCTAGGCGATGCGGACGTGGAGTCGGTGGCCATCACGCGCTGGGCCACGAATCCCTACATCCGTGGTGCTTGGAGCTTCGTCCCCGTGAACGCCATCGTCCAGGAAGAGAGTCCAGCCACCAACACCTGGGATGAACCCGTGGTCTTCGAAGAGTAGAAGAGGGAAGACCCACGGATTCATCCCAGGTGTTGGTAGTTTTTTTCGAGCATTTTGAGGATCACTTGAGCCAGCTTCTAGGGGGGTTGGGATGGCCAGCAGTTCTTGTTGCCATAATATAGGCATCATCAAGAACAGATCATGCAAATTTTGCAGGAGGGAGGGGGTGACAGGACACCAGGCACACACATCCCTTTTTGAAGGGGTAGCTAGTAGCACCAATTGATAGGGGGCCACCCACATACATGCAAAGAGATGTCAACACCTCGCAACCGATAGGGGCCCACCCATGCCCACCCAACTCATCGGTGCCCATTGTGGGTCAAATATATATTATTGTTCGACACTCCTATCCTTCTTGAGGAGCACCCAGATCCTCAAAGAAGTCAAGGTCAGTCGGTAGTGTCGTATGTGTTATGTTCCTGTCACGAAGCTGAAGTTGGACATTTGATCTTTACCAGCCAGGATTTCAATCACAGATTTGATGTACATGTTCTTAAAGTTCTTACCGAGCAATCATTGTTTTACTAAGGGATTTAGACAAAACAAAACGGGCTGGGTGTTTTTTTTTATGCTAATGGTTTTTTTCTTATGCTCACAGCGGGGTTGGTGTGCTTTTGGGGTATGGGTTTCTTTTTTTATGCTTATAGTGCTTTTTTTAATGCTAATGGTTTTTTCTGTTATGCTTGCAGTTCTTTCTTTTACGCTCCTGGTTTCTTTTTTTATGCTAATGGTTTCTTTTTTTATGCTAAGGGTTCTTTTTTTTTATGCGGCACTGTGGGAAGAGGTCACGTTGGGGGGTCCTAGTGCAGAATGTAATTGTCAGGAGGGTTTAGTGCAGAATGTAATTGTCGGGAGGCTTTAGTACAGAATGTAATTGTCGGGAGGTTTTAGTACAGAAAGTAATTTTTCGAGAGGTTTTAGTACAGCAAGTAATTGTCGGGAGGTTTGAGTACAGAAAGTAATTGTCGGGAGGTTTTAGTACAGAAAGTAATTGTCGGGAGGTTTTAGTACAAAACGTAATTGTCGGGGGGGCTTTAGTACCGAATGTAATCGTCGGGGAGAAGGATGTTGCCATTTCAACTTGACTCACCCTTTTGTGGGCAAGGCAGGGGTAAAATTTAGAGAAGGATGTTGCTCTTCCAAGTTGACTCACCCTTTGGTGAGCCACCCGAGGGTAAAAATTAGAGAAGGATGTTGCCATTTCAACTTGACTCACCCTTTTGTGGGCAAGGCAGGGGTAAAATTAAGAGAAGGATGTTGCCATT